GACTGCTGTCTGTTGGGGCCACGGGTCGTTCTATGGCATCGTAACCGCTGAAGCCAGGTTTGGAATGTGTCGTCATTGTCGTTGAGGTGGCGGAGATCTTCGTTGAGAATGCCAGAACGGTTGGTGAAAGGCTGATCACAGTTGCGCATGGAGTGTGCCGTTGAATGGCAGTTGAGGCAAAGTCCTTGATTGTCGCGGAAGGCTTGTTCTCGTTCGTGTCGTGATACTAGTAGCGTCCAAAGTGATGGCAGTTTTCTGGATGTAAAACTCTCAGAAACCTGGAAGACCGTGTACCAGTGGTCATCCCTAGCTAAAGGCCACGCGTTGTAGTGTTGATCAAAAAGATCCGAGTGCGAGTTGGATCGAACGTTCATGACTATTGGGTTGCGTGATGAGCCTGAGGCATGCGATTGTTGTGACGAGGATGAGCGGTTGCTCGACCTGTGCCCTTGTGATGGAGTAGAAAGTGAAAGATTCCCAAAGGCAGCAGACGCAGCACCATGGCCTGGGCCGTTTACAGCTGCAGTCTTGTTTGACGAGAAATTGTTGAATGCCTCCCACATATCGTCTAGTGTCGCATATGGCGAAACAGCATTTGCTAAGCTACCCGGGAAGCAGCTAGTCATCATACTCGGAAATTGATCGTTGATCTTATTCCGCGTGACTTCTATGACCCAGCGTGCATCTGGTGCCAACAAACTGGAGTAGTTGGTGACGTTGGATACAGCTACTCGGTACTGCTGCAAGAACTTGGCAAACGTTGTGCCGTTAGGCACTTTGTAGTCATTCAGCTGCGAGAATGTGGCGCCGCGGTTTTGTTCGCCGAATTGCCCTGCCATGAGCCGTAGCAGGAGCTTGAAGGCTTCGCCTCCGCTCACGCCTTGCTTGAGCTGAGTCTCTACCTGTGCAAAGAATCCGTTGATGACCGAGTAGAGATCAGCGGATTGGGGGGAAGTTGACAAAATGACGTTGGTGAGTGCCCTCTGAATGGGGCGTTGCCATCCCGGTACCCAAATGTCGGAATTGTCGAAGTTGACCAGGGGGTCAGCCTGTAGCAGGATGTCGTGCATTGCTCTTTTGGTAGACTCCAAGAGTTGGCCTAACGCGTTGGTGCCGGCACGGCCTGAAGCTAACGGAAGCTGCGGCCTAATCTTTTCGACGTGTTTGAGGTCGATGGTGGCGTACTTAGCGGCGATGGACCGGATGCGCGCTTGCTTTACTTTGGCGGCCTGTTCGTCGATGACATTTTGGCGCTGTACAGCTGTCGAGGAGGAGATGGGCAAGCCGTTGTGGTGCAACAGAGCGCTATTGGATTGAGCTACAGCAGCTAGTGGAGGAATTACTTGCCCTTTATTGTCGTTGTCGGTGGAGTCGGGGGTGCCGAAGTCGAACCTGTTCCTGTCGTAGAGCTGACCCTGAGACTCTTCAGGAACGAATGCCCTAAGGGGGGAGGGTCCTCGCTCCTGACGGTGGGGCTCGTGGTGTTCTTCCTCCTGAGGGGGTGCTTGGCGTCGTGATGATGGTTCCTTGATGCCACCCTTTTCTTCTTCATACCCTTGGGAGCGTTGACGGTTGCCGTGGGAGCGTGGCGAGGGTCGGTGGTCCGACCCGTGGTTCCGTTTGGAGCCACGGCCTCCGCTGTTGTCAGAGCTATCCGATGCCCAGTTGCGGCCGCGGTGTTTGGCTGTTGATTTTTTCTTACCGCGTGGCGTACGGTTGCCACCGGGGCTGGAGGAGTGGCGGCCTTTGGTGCTCTTTATTGTTGGATACTGGCCGCGAAACGGCTGTGGGAGCGGCTTCTCAGAGTAGTCGATTGAAGTGTTGGAGCGGTTACGCTAGGCGGCGGCTGCAGTGTCGACAAAGATGGCGAGTGCGTTGGCGACCGCGACGGTGGCGGAGGTGGATACACCGTTGTCTTTGTTGTGATCGACAAAGGACCAAACGTTGGAGCAGTCTGCGGTATCCCCCATGTGGTTCGGTAAGGTGTCGAGGAGGTTACGAGCGGCGGTTTGCACTCTGTCTCGGTGTGGGTTGCTGAAAGCGCGCTGATACGTGCGGGCGATCACGACCAGTGGTGTGGAGTGGTACCATGCCGTGGAGTCTTCGAGCCCACGGCGAGTGGCGGCGGCGTATGTAGGCTTGACGCCGGTGACCTTAAAGGTGGTGTGAGGCGATGACGGGCCGGAGGGCGAAGGCGGGGAGGGTGGTGAGGCGGTGGTGTGGCCGCCCTGTTGACGACGGTTGTGGGCTCTCTGAGGTGTAAGGAAGTCGTCAGAGGGGTTGTCCCTCTCGGAGATAGCGGCTAACTCCTCGGATTCCGCTAGGTCGAGGGCCTGCTGGTGCTCACGCTGCTGGCGTTGGAGGGCAGCGGTCTCCTTCAGGAGGTGTGCGAGACGAGCGGCGGCCGATGCTTGTAGGTCTCAGAGTTTTTTCGACTTCTCATTCGCCTCCGAAGCCTTTTGCTCCCGCTCCCTCTGCAGGAGTTCTTGGGAATGCTTGGCCGCTGCGGCCTCTGCATCGATTGCGATACCGGCGGCGGCGGAAGCTTTATTGACGGCGCGCTGTTGGTGTGTGAGGTCGAGCTCGTCCCAGTCGGATGCAGAGTACAGGGTTTTTAATATTGGCGGGCACTCGGAGTACGGGAGCTTGCTGGGCTCCGGTTTCGCGTCGTGGGTGTTGGACATGGCGGAAGGAGGCTGAGAAGCCTGGGTAGCGACAATTTCCACGGGGGGAGGGATGGGCGGGGAAGGGTTGAGAAAGGTGTCGGGCTCATTGTCGTTCATTGACGGCTGTGCGATGTCTGAGGAGGGCAACGTGCGCTGCTGTCGAGCGGTGCGAGCAGCGTAACGCTGTGCGCGGGCGTGCTGCTGTAGGCTGATGCGTGTATTGAGTTCCGTAGGCGAAAGCTCAAAGCGAGAACGGTACATGAGGTCACGCCGTTGTTGGGATAGGGCGGGAGACTGCTCTGTCACGCTCTGAAGGGGGGTGGTAAACAACGTGTCCAGATCGAACGAGTTTTCATGTTCCCATAGGGCGAAGTGGGCGTCGGCATGCGGCGTGGAGTGCATGAGTGCAGCATTTATTGCAGAGAGCACAGCGTCATTATTGTCGGAAACAGCAGGTAGTGTCGCAGGCGGTGTAGTGGGCCTAGAAAGCGTCGAGAAATTGGCAGCGTTATGTGCAGAAGATTCGGCAACCGATGGAATAATGCCGAGTTCTGCGATCTCCGGTGATGTGCGATGGGCATGCGGAGAAGTGCCAAAATTGTCGGTGCTAATTGTCGATTGCATGGCGATATCTGTGTCGGGCAGAGCGCGGATTTCGCTGGAGTGATCCTCATCAATGGCGTCAAACGTGCGCTGAAAGAGCATAGTGTCGTGTTCAGGTGTGGCGTGTAAGGCGGTAGACTCGTTTTCTACAACAGCAGAAGTTGTGGCGATGGCAGCATTTTGTTCTGCCGTGTCACTTGCCTTGTGGGAAATGCCGATTGAAGGCCCTTCAGCAAGAAAAGGCATATCCGAACTTTGCAGAGTGTGTGCTTGCGTGGCGAGAATGGCGTCGCTTGAAGCAGCATTGTCGGTCAGTGGAGTATCATTGGCGGCCAGTGTGCTACTAGTGTCGAAGGGTGTTTGGTGTGTATCACGAGGCACGGATGTGCTTTGTGAAACCGAAGGTGCAAATGCATGTTCGACTAAAGACCCTAAAGATGAGGCTGCTTGCTGCAGCAAGGAGTGTACTTGAGTGGCGCCCGTGGAGGTAGCGGAATGTGTCGAAGCCGGGGAGCTGTCGCCATTAGAAGCAGAGCTACGTGGAGCACTATTGGTGCTGCGTGGGCTGGCTGCGGATGAGTCGGCGCCGCCGCCTGTGAGTGCTGCCATGGTGGCGAGCTCAAGCTTACGAAAGAGAGAGATATGTCTACCCAAGGAATCCCACAGCAGAAATATTTTTCCACGTGCACCCGAAAATAAAACCAAAAAGTAGAAGCGACTCACGTTCGAATCCAAGACGAGGCCAAGTGTGACGAGATGTGACGATCTCTGACGCGGGTTTAGTGTGGAGCTAGTCCGACCACTGTGTGCAGGTGGGAGCCGCTTCGCTTCTTCAGTCTGTTTCCTTCCTTATCCTTCCTTTCTCTCTCAGTCGCTCGCTATCGCTCACTCCCAGTCAAGACACTGAGCAAGGTGGAACGCTTGCACTCGCCTGCTACCTGCCTAAAGTCGGAATACTAAGAACCTGGGCAGGTGGTCGGGGTATTCCTGAAAGATACACCCGCCCAGATGGTATCTTAGTCCAAGGGTCCAAATACCATAACACGATCATGACATCCGTCAACCCACACGGCTACCCACAGCGATACATGTGTTTTTCCAGAACTCGACTGTCTTGAAAATACCAAATAAATGACATTTCACAAATCCTCCAGACATGGTTTTCAACCTAAAGCGTCATCCGTCACAGCATTTACCATACTTCCCACCGCACGTCAACTGCATACCGTACGTCATACTATGCCACAGACACCATCGTCGACTGTCACTGCGACCTTTTCCAAAATGATGTCCCCTCCACGGCCTCTTCCCCAACGAAAGGAGGTGAGCAAAATCATCTATTTTGCCACGCCGACGAGTATGTATATCCCTACGCCTTTTCCGACGTCTTCATCACATCCCACCGCCCATTGACGTCGACCAACCCCATTGCACATATTTCACCAACATCGACATACATGTACGTGCGCATTTCTCGACGCCTTCGTCACAACCCACTCATCTCCGTCACCATTGAACCGCCTCCCGCCTCATATCCCAATGTCGTTCATCTCCCCACCGATCTCTACTCTTCGTACAGCCTTTCCTGGAAAAGTGGTCGTCCTAGCTGGTGATACGAGACAACTGCCACCTGTTGTACCAAATGGTGGCGAAGCCGAGACCACCGCGGCATCCCTCCTGTCGAGCGCATACTACCGCGACAACGTTGAGATATTTCATCTCAGCAAAACAATGCGCAACAAGGACGACCCCCGATTCTCTAAAATGGTCGATGACATAGGTAATGGCGTTTCTGATATTGATGAAGCCGGGTTGACAACTATTACTGGCGTGCGGACCGAACAAGCTTTGGATGTCGTCATCGATTTCGGTTTTCCTGATGACGTCCTCCAAAACCCCTCTGCTTGTGCCAAGCGCGGCATCATTTCCACCCACAATGATTCCGTCGCTCGTGTGAATGCGGCTGTATTGGCGAGAATGAATGGTGAAACGTGCACCTTGCAAGGTAGAACGATGCTCGATCACGAGCACCTCGACCCAGACGTCGATGATTTCTTCCGTATGTCTCAGTTTTTGAACCAGATGGAGCCCAGCAGCGTCCCGTCTCACGACATCAACCTCAAAGTAGGGGTCGTCGTATTGCTTTGCAGGAATTTGTCCATAGATGACTGCCTCACGAATGGCACCAAAGTTGTTTTGTCGCGATTCAACCCTTTACGTAAAAAGTTCAGACATTAGACCACGGTAAAATATTCTGGTTGCCACGTGTCGCGTTCAATTTTGTGACACATCAGGGGGTAGCGGTCAAGCGCGTTCAGTTTCCCGTACGTTTGTGCTTCTGTTTGACGGTGCATCGGGCGCAAGGACAAACGTTGGACAAAACTTGTTTTGACCTCACGCGTCACCCCTTCGCGCACGGGCATTTGTATGTCGGCCTGTCTCGAGTACGCAAGTCTGACGACATCATCATCCTCACTACCAGTGACAGGATCGACGGTGATGGCTTCGCGAAAGTTCACAACGTGGTTTTCAAGAGTTTGCTACCGGAAGAAGATTAGATTGACCGGGGGGCTTCTGGGCCTTGGGGATGGGATGCTTCAGTAGAGCGTGCTCGATCGTGGAATCTTTCGTGCAGCAGGATTTCTTGTGGCAAACATTGATCGCCGAGAGGATTGTGAGCCACCTGATCAAAGCAGTTCAGTTGTTCGCGAGGGGGGGGGGACTATTGCCAAAAGGCTTCATTAATGTTTGATGGACAAGGGTAGTAGACTGGGGGCTCTGAAACAAAGCAGTTGTGTACGTTACATATGTTGGTAATTCAATGTCAGTCATTAGTATTTGTACTACTGTAAACACAGCACGTAGGTATTCACCTCTGGAGAATTATTGGACCATTTGGGAGAGGCCATTGTCAGTTAGGATATTCTTGCGTTGTTCCTAGAGGTCGGATTAACCGCCTGCTAGCATGACCGGGATATTGCAATGTCCCGTGTGTGTCCATCTTTCCGTGATAGCTTGGACGCTCGCCCCCCGTGGTGCTCGCCCCCACTCGATCACTCGTCTCTCTTTCCTCTTTCCTTACCTTTTGGCCAACTAAGCGCCACTTTCAACCATCAATCTGGTCTTTCAACAAGTACTTAACAGTCACTCTGTGAGCCTTTGCACACTGTCTCTACACAGCACAGGTGGCCAAAGTACCGCCTTGTAGAGGCACATTGGGCAACCTCGAAAAAAAAACATTGGGCACCGATCGCAACCTGCTGATCTTGGGTAGTTCTTGCAATGATGAGGTGGCCAGGTTGGGCAACCTGGACTTTTCTTGGAGGTTGGGGCGTAGTCTACAAGGCGGTTGGTGGGTAGGTTGGGGATGATGCGCAAGGTGTGCCTTTTTTGGAGGTTGGCGGACTGTCCACAACCTGGTACGCGGACAGGCTGCCAATGCTGTTGCAAGGTGTACTTTTTGTGGAGGTTGGTGGACTGTCTACAAGCCGGTTGGTGGGTAGGTTGGGGATGGTGCGCAAGGTGTCCCTTTTGTGGAGGTTGGGGCACTGTCTACAACCTGGTACGCGGACAGGTTGCCGAAGTTGGTGCAAGGTGTACCTTTTTGTGGAGGTTGGGGCACTGTCTACAACCTGGTAAGCGGACAGGTTGCCGATGCTGGTGCAAGGTGTGCCTTTTTGTGGAGGTTGGCGCACTGCGGTGTACAAGCCGGTTGCCTAGGTTGTCGGAGGCAACAGCAGCATTGCTACTCAGCAACAACAATGTGGGTTCAATACCCCATCATGACCTTTTTTTTTTCCTCCCTTTTTTTCCCAAGATTTTTTCGATGCGGGTATCGGAACAGTATCGCGACTCATCATCTCGAGCCCGTTGTCGACAACTCTGGAGTTGCATGAACCCTAAGCGAGAACCAAAAATAAATAAAAAATTAATCCAAGAATCGTGTTTTTTTAACTTCCTTCAGCGACGTCGATCATGGAGATGATCCGTGCATGCAACACCATATAATCGTTGTCGGAAATACGACTCAATCGGGGACAACAGCTACACGTACTGACGGCGCGTTTTCCCAATGCACATGTACTCGTAGAAACGACTGCCTTCTCCCGACACTAGACAAAGCATTCCCCCTCCCGCCGCCCCGAAAGCCCCAGCAGTATCCAATATATGGTTCCTGTCCTTGTTGAATTTTCCCCTGCACCACCCGCCGACGTTGATCATGGAGATGATCCGCAAGAAAGCAATACCAATGAGTGTTGACGGATAGACGACGAAGCGGTGACAACAGTTACACGTAGCGACAGCGGGCTCCCCCAATACGTGTCCAAACGACCGATTCGATGTCAGAAAATAAAGCACTCCCTCTCTCGCCGCCCCCGAAGTCACAGTTCTAGACACGAAGAAATGTCACTGCCCGAGAACAAAATAAAGGCATACTGCAGGGACTGCAGAGAGAGACGTCTCTACCCTCCAAACACCACAAAAAAACACCTCCAAGATGGCCTTCCCCACGAGGGACAAGAAAGAAGCATGACGGCAACGACTGAAGGCAAGAGGCCGCCGCAGCGACAGATTCCAGGCGCACTTGGAGACACTGTAAAAAACCTTCCCGAGAGCACTAAGCACCTCACAGCATTCTTCATTCAAACGCAAACATGAGCCATTGCGAGCGGGAAGGAAAATTTTCCGCCTTCTCCTTCAACACTCCGGCCCGTTGTGGAAGAGAGGACCCGGGAAAACGCGTCGAACGCCGTTGAAGCGGAGATCCCGTCGACTACACCTGGGGTTTGCCGATCAGCAGCGAAATAATATTAAGTGTGAGAGGAGAGTAAACGTGGGCCGTCGATGAACGGGGGTGCAGATATGCATTGTCAACAATACTATTTAAAACCAGGCACGGGGGGTTGGAACAAAACCCACAGCTTAACCGCAGGTCGTAGAATACGCCAGAGACGAGGTAAATTCAAGGGGAATTGACAAAAAGGGGTATACCCCGCGTGTTCAGGCACAAAATGGGGGATCCCTTTTCTCGACGTGGGGCGCAACGCCTGACGCCGGGTAGCCGCCTTCTAATGCTTCAGCCCCATGCACCACGTCCTCAGGAAGGACCCCCAGCTTTTCGTTTTTTTTCACCGTCAGGAACAGGGTTAACTAGGGCCTGGAAGAAGGGAGCTTGTTGGAGGACCCCATTTTGTCCACGAAACCGTGGGGTACACCCCCCTGTCTGCTAAAAGTTTATCTAGTACGCCATTCTGTTCACAAACATATCCCATAATGTTCAAGGCATACCCCTTTTTGTTCAGTGGTAACCCTCCCGCGGACTGCCAAAACATCAACCAACAACCAACCGCAGACTGCACCATATCTCTGTACTTTCTGTCTCCTTGCCGCGCCGCAGACAACAAAGCCCGCGTGTTGCACCGCAGACCACAATACCCCAACCACGCCTATATGTATGGTAGTATGCTGTTGGTTGTTGGTTGACATTTTGGCAGTCCGCAGGAGTGTCACCACTGAATAAAAGGGATATGCCTTGAACACTATGGGATATGTTTGTGAACAATGGCGTACTAGATGAACTTTTAGCAGACAGGGGGGTGTACCCCACGGTTTCGTGGACAAAATGGGGTCCTCCAATAAGCTCCCCTCTTCCAGGCCCTAGTTAACCCTGTTCCTGACGGTGAAAAAAAACGAAAAGCTGGGCGTCCTTCCTGAGGACGTGGTGCATGGGGCTGAAGCATTAGAAGGCGGCTGTTGTACCCGGTCAGGCGTTGCGCCCCACGTCGAGAAAAGGGATCCCCCATTTTATGCCTAAACACGCGGGGTATACCCCATTTTGTCAATCCCCCTAAATTTAAACATCAGGAGTGGCTAACGGACACGCTGGGATGGAGAAGAGTATATCGAAGGGAACCGCGGGCAAAACGATTGCACGACAAGAAAAACGCAAGCATCCAACACCGTTTCAGGCAGAGAAAGAGGAAGAGAGGCACGATTATTGGAAGACACACAACACACCTTGTCAACACGGGATAGGCGTCCGCCGAGGCTTTGGGGCCAGCGTCGTCGTCAGGACCATCGCTTATCTGGCTCGGAGATGAAAAGCCATCCCCGTCTCCATCCTTAGCTTCCCCTCCGCCCCCATCTTTATCCACCCCGGGGTCACCTTCGCCACCTCCAGGCCCTCGTCCTCCAAGAAGCACGGCTTGAGGTAGCGCTTAGCGTCGTCCTGCTGATCAATACTCTCGGCGGAGGTGATCGCCCATGAGTATTTTACCCGAACTGCATGAAGCTCTCCTAGAACCTGAGACACGAAACAAAGAACAAAGAGCGTTTCATTTGAATGTCAGCTTGTCTGACGCCGAGGGGTTCATCTCGTTAATAGCTTGCGCCAAACCACCTTCGCGTCGACTCGAAGCAACGCCAGGGCGCACTGAAACTGCGGTAAAACCAATGAAAAGGTTGGAAACGCGACAGGAACAAAACAATTGAGAGTGTTGGACTTTCAGCTCGCACGCCCAATGAGCGCTTATCAGCCTGACAAACGGTTGACAGTATGCCACGGGAGACAGGGTTAGACGAATAAACTAAATACAACGAAGGGCCAGCCTTACAGAGCTTACAGTAGATCACATATCGACACAAAGGAAACGTACATGTCCCGGATGACGTCCAACGTTTGGTCGCCGCCGCCATACTTCCCAGCACGCCTTTTCGAATAAAGGGTGGCACATCGGGAAGGTACGGTATACCGTCATGGTCGGGGTCACTCTTGTTGGCGAAGTGTGCCCTGGAGTGCCCATCCTCGTCTTGACGACATCCGCGAGGATGCACTTCTCGAGTATCTTCGAAAGGGATCAATCCATGCCGTGAGGGGGGCGAGGTGGTGCTTAGCGGGGGCTGGATGGATGCACCAGAGCAAGGTTGACAGTAGATAGTGTGGAATTACTGCTGAAAGCAGCAGGCAGCAGGGCGAAGATGAACTCCAGCAGTTATCCTCGTTTTCAAAACGTACGTGGCGATTCCAAAATTCAAGCATTATTAACACGGAAGCGGCCTGAAGATTGTAAGGACAAACACTCATTGTCCCCGGTCCTGTTGCGTGGCACCATGACATGTTTGGTAAATGCGCACTATCGCTCACCGTGCGCTGCACCTCTATCCTGCACGACAGGCTAACGCTACAGCATGCGAGCCCCTCAAACCAACACAAGTAGTGGTACGTGTGCGTCAAAAAG